ACTAATCATGCTTTGAAGGTCCGTACCGTCCCATCCATGTCAGTCTTCTTTTTGAAGACCCACTTGCACCCAATTGGTTTGACTCCAGTGGGTGCATCAACCAAATTCCATACTTGGTTTTTGTACATGGAATCCATTTCAGATTTCATGGCTTGACACCATTCCTCAGCCTCTAGGGCACTTATGGCCTCAAGGTAGGTCTCGGGTTCGTTGTTCTCGATTAGTAACACGTCTCCTTCACAGGTTAGGAGAAACCCATACCTCTTGGGTGGATTTCGTGTTCTCATGGACCTTTGGAGGACTTGTGTTTCTTGGGAGGGTTGAGGGACAACAATTTGTTCCTCTTGCTGTGTCGCTTCGTCTGGTTGGTTATCTTCTTCATTATCTCGAATTTGTTCGAGATCTTTCTTCCATCAATTGTTTTGGATAGAAATCCGTTTTCTAAAAAGGTTCCATTTTGTGCAACAAAAACTTTGTTGTCATTTAGATGATAAAAATAATATCCACGAGTTTCTTTCTGATATTCAACGAAGAGACATTTGTCGAATTTGGCGTCATGTTTGCTTGACGTCAACAGACGTTTGACATATGCTTCACAGCCCCAAATCTTCATGTGAGATAACCTCGTGCTATGGTGTGTCCGTATTTCTCATGGTGTTCCTTTTACTGCTTTAGTTGGAACTCTATTTAGAGTGTATATCGCTCTGCTCAACGCCTATCCTTAAAACGAGTCTAGGAGTGTTGCATGACTCATTGTGGATCAAACCATGTCAAACAGTGTTCGATTTCTCCTTTCGGATAGGCCATCCCACTATGGCGTTCTAGGAGGAGTGAGTTCAGAAACAATCCCATGCTCTTTCAAATAGTCATCGAACTCATGGCTTAAGTATTCTCCTCCACGATCAGATCGCAAAGTTTTGATGTTTTTTCCCAGTTGTTTCTCTACTTCATTTCAAAATTCTCTAAACATTTTAAATGATTCCGTTTTTTATCAAAAACACATAACCATATCTATAAGGTTGTCAGTAAAGGTAATGAAATATGAGAAACCTCCTCGGGCTGTTATATTGAAAGGCCCACATACATCAGTATGTATGAGTGCAAGAAGGTCACTAGCCCTTTCACCTTAATTGGTAAATGAAGTCTTTGTCATCTTGCCTAATAAATAAGATTCACACGTATTATATGATTCAAAATCAAATGCCTCCAATACACCAGTTTTGTGTAATTTGGATATGCGTTTCTTATTAATGTGTCCTAAGCTAGAGTGCCATAGATACGTTAGACTCACATCATTTGTTTTGGATCTTTTAGTTGAACTAAATTCTAACTCGTGCGATGCACGGCAAAAAAATTATCTAACGATAAACGTAATGAAACAAATAAATAGGTCATAACTAGAAATAAGCTGATAAGTCACTAAAATTCAAATTTATTTAAATTATGGATATAATGTATATAGTATATTTCACCAATCAAAGCAAAAGTGATCTCACAATATGCTTTGGTCTTTACAAATCAATATCTTCAACATCTCAATTCTCAAAGTCTTGTCGATTTGTCACTTATGAAACAATAATGTATAATTGACCGAATTTCTCACTAATACTATACCCAATATTTAAAGTTTATTTTTTTGAACTACACTATTGTCATAAAGAACTTCCAAAATGAACACATTGAAAAACAACACTTTATGAAGACTAAAATAATTTATTGGCCATCATGAAGTGTACTTTGATCTACATTGTGTATACATTGTGCCAAAAACATAAAGTGAATGAAGATCATGTTCGATATCACAACGTATACATCAACAGGGCCCAATATCTACGCAAAAGATTACAATGAAATGCATAAATATTAATACCCAACGACTAAACTCACAGCATTATAGAGTTGTTTCTTAATTGTTCTAACTAAAGGACTCATTATTTCTACTTATGATCTACGGAGTAGAAGAATAATTAGAATAAGCAATCTAATTACTTTTTGACATACTCATTCAACTACAATGGATGTGACAGAATCCATCCCTTTCAAAAAGATTCAGCAAGCTAAAAAAATCTATCCAAACAGGCTCTTACACTATAAAGATAGCAATACCTTCAAATTATAAATAGCCACACAGACCACCAGCTTTAGTATAATCATTCCCCATCATTCATGTTTACCTAGTGAAAGACTACTTACTACACAAAGAAACATAATTATTTCCATTAGTATCCAGAAAGATAGACCTTCATCACAGGAAAAATAAGTTTGAAATCTAACATGATCATTTAAAACATCTTGCCACACTGTCCTTAAAACTTTTGGATCAGAAGTGTTAATAATCTCTACATTTGAGGTAGTGATCTAGCTGGAAACATCGTCTGAATTTAATCCTTCTTGACACCTTAAAAAAGACACATTTGAATCAAAATATGTGCACACACCAAAAGCAATCCACCCCAAACAAAAATTACATCATGGCAGAAGAAGACAATAAACACACTACATAGTACTCTATACTAATTAAGCACTCACTCTCAATAGATTTGAAATAAGAGAACAGTAAGAGGTAACTTAAGTTTAAGCTTAGTGTAAATGTAAATAAGTCCAACTTTGACTAATAATTAAATTCATAATAAATCAATGATGTAGGTTGCAACATG